CTTAACCACTGAGCCACCTTGGAAATGTAAGGGGTGTGCTGTTTTGGGGGATGCCTGAAATTTTGACGCTGGTTTTATGATGTTATTGTTTTTGTTACTGTTTCTAATCCAACGAGGGTTATGCCAGATAGGCAGCTATCTAAATCTGTTCAGTAAATAAATACAAGCAATGACATTAACAGTGCGCAAGAATTTCTTCTGTTACTAATGCAGATGTATTATCACAATCAATCACCAACCTCAGATGAACCCCCAAGCCTCTGTGTTTTCCTGAGCACTCCAGACAGATCCAAATTCCATAGGTCACACTCACCCACTGGGGGTTAAATGCACCACACTCAAAACAAACCTGTAAAGAGAAGGGGGGGGAAAGGTAATTTGAGTTTTCCACAGTAAACCCAGGTGTTTTAGTCCCACCTTGAAAGCCGGCTGGGTGACTTAGGGCCAATCACCAGGAGACTGAGAGTTCTAGTCCCGCCTTAGGTATGAAAGCCAGCTGGGTGACTAAGGGCCAATCACCAGAGACTAAGAGATCTAGTCCCGCCTTAGGCATGAAAGCCAGCTGGGTGACTAAGGGCCAATCACCAGATACTAAGAGATCTAGTCCCACCTTAGGCATGAAAGCCAGCTGGGTGACTAAGGGCCAATCACCAGGAGACTAAGAGTTCTAGTTCCGCCTTAGGCATGAAAGCCGTCTGGGTGACTAAGGGCCAATCACCAAAGAGTTCTAGTCCCGCCTTAGGCATGAAAGCCAGCAGAGTGACTAAGGGCCAATCACCAGGAGACTAAGAGTTCTAGTCCCGCTTTAGGCATGAAACCCGGCTGGGTGACTTTGGACCAATCATTGTCTCTCAGCCCAACCTACCCCACCAGGTGGTTGTTGTGGGAAAAATAAAGGGAGTAAGGAGGATATAAAGTAACAATGATGGTATAAAAATGAAATAAATAAAATAATAGGCATTGTTCTTAAAAATGCTAAACCAAGCTTAGATATGTCTATTAAAATAAGATATTCCCAGGGAGTCACCACCTTGAAGTAATGAATCAAAGCAAGGCATGGAGGGAGAGAAAGGCAATTTGGTATAATAGTGAAGGTAGTAGAATTAGAACATTGTGAGTTTCAATCCATCCTCATTCTCAAGATGAATGGGTGACTCAGGCTCTACTTAGCCCAATAAGGTTATTGTTGCAGGGAAAATGGGAGGTATGTCCATTTTCGTATG